AACGATCAGCGGTATTTTGCTGTAAAAAGTCATAGTTTCAAAGACCACTTTAAAGCCACGATCAAGGCTCTTCGCGCTCTGACGGTATAGCCACGATCATGGCTTGTCGCCCTCAAAGGGTTAGCGAATTTAAATATAAGAATGATTTAAGTTAATGCATTTCAAAAGATAAACAAAATTTTGTTAAAAAAAAAGTTTTAAAAAACCGTTACAATTTAATAAGTTTGATCTTAAATGCTTTTATATTATCGAAACGCTTTTAATAAAGTAAAAAAAAAAACACTTTTAATTAATTTAAAAAAAAGTAATAATAAAATATTTTTTTATTTTATTTATATAACTATGTATTTTTTATGAGAAATATTTAACTTTTGAATATATTAAATAAATAAAAATTATATAAAAATGTTGAAACAAAGATTAAAAAGGTTTTTTAATGCATAAATTAAATAGACTAAGCATTTTAGTTTGATAAGTTTTGTTTTAGTTGTGTTATATATATATATTCATTTTTTTGTGTTTTTGCTTTAACTAAGTATTTTTTTTATTTTCTCTTTCGTTAATATTTATTATTTTTTTTAATTTTTTTTTCAAATAAGTTAAGGTAAGTTTTTTTAGCGCGTTTTTTAAATTAAAAAATATGCCGTAGTCAAATCGTTAAATAATTTTATTTTGCGTGGTCATATAAAGACATGAAATCGCAAGTCTTCTTGTGAAAGCCTGAATAAAGTAACAAAAACTATAGAACACAAAAAACCACGGTCATCACAAAGTTTGCTAAACCTATCATTCACTAATATTTGTGGTCTTCGGAGTAACTTTTCTTTTGTTGAATCTTATCTCTTGCAAATTTCACCAGACCTACTTGCTCTTTGTGAGACTAATTTGAGTTCAGTTGTCTCATCTTGTGATCTTAGTGTTGATGGTTATCTTCCTTTAATTCGTAAAGACTCCAATAGTCACATGCTTGGCTTGGGCATTTACATTTGTAAGAAATCACCCATTTGTCGGAAAACTAGGTTTGAATCCACAAACTACTCTTTTATGTGCTTTTGTTTAGAACCACTTCACTCTGTCACCTTTCTTTTTGTTCTATATCGCTTTCCCTCATCTCAAGACTGCACTCTTCTTGATAATATTTCTGATTATATTGACCGAGTCTTCTCTTTTTATCCATCAGCCAATATTGTTGTTGTAGGTGACTTCAATGTTCATCACACTGAATGGCTTGGCTCTAGTGTCAGTGACTCTGCAGGCATTAAGGCCCACAACTTTTGCATTTCTCAATCCCTAACTCAAATAGTCAACTTTCCAACTCGCTTTCCAGATAACCCGAATCATTTACCTTCTCTACTCGACTTATGTCTTGTTTCTGATCCTAGTCAGTGCTCAGTTTCTTCACACTCACCCTTAGATGCCTCCGATCATGGTTTGGTCTCTCTAAACCTATTATCTCATTCTTCTTTATCATCAGAATCTCCCTATCATTGTACATCTTACAACTACCTTAAAGCTGACTGGGACTCTTTCCGTGATTTTCTTCGTGATGGCCCTTGGGTAGAAATCTTTTGTCTTCCTATTGACAAATGTGCTTCTTACATAACTTCATGGATTCAGGCTGGCATGGATTCCTTTATTCCCTCTCGATGATTGAGGCTCAAGCCTCACTCTTCTCCATGGTTTTCCTCACATTGAGCTGCTGCAATTGCCAATGGAAACCATTACTTCCATATCTATCAGCAAAACAGTTCTCCAGAAAACAGACCTCTGTTTATTACTGTTAGGAACCATTGTAAAAAGGTTTTGTCTAACGTCAAAGCCCGCTATTCTCAGATCATGAAATCTTGTATTTCATCACAAAAGTTAGGCTCTTGTAACTTCTGGAGAATCTTTAATAGTATCAATAATAAGGGCAAGTCTGTAATTCCACCTCTTTTCTATGGTTCAGACTTTGTCACTTCACCTAAAGACAAGGCTGAATTGATTGCTAAGAACTTTTCATCAATATCATCTCTTGGCTCCACTAGTTGCGTTCTACCTAATATAGCCGTCAAACAGATTGATCCATTGCTTGACATCCGTATCATTCCAGCTTCTGTATCTAAAGTGATTTCCTGCTTAGACTCTTCTACAGCTTGCGGCCCGGACAACATACCTGTTATAGTCTTGCAGAAGTGTTCTCCGGAGCTGTCGTCTATCCTTTTCAAAACTATTCAACAAGTGCTTATCAGAGTCTTGTTTTCCAGCCTGCTGGAAAGCAGCATCTGTTATCCCTATTTTTAAAAATTCTGGAGAGCGATCCGATTCATCTAACTACCGTCCCATTAGTCTTCTTCTTATCATAAGCAAGGCTTTTGAATCTCTAATTAAAAAACACTTAATCTCTCATCTTGAATCTCATAACCTACTTTCTGATCATCAATATGGATTTCAATCTTCTTGTTCTACGGCTGATTTGCTAACAGTAATAACCAATAGGTTTTATCGTGCCTTAGATAAAGGTGGAAAGGTTAAGGCCATCGCTTTTGACATTTCTAATAAATTTCGTTTGATAAAGCTTGGCATGCTGGTCTTCTCCATAAGCTTTTTTCTTACGGTGTATCTGGAAACATCTTTAAGATTATTGAACCCTTCCTTCCCAATCGTAGTATAAAAGTTGTCCTCGATGGACAGTACTCTTCTTCT